AGAGAGAGAGAGAGAGAGAGAGAGAGAGAGAGAGAGAGCGTTCAGCGAGGGTGGAATTAGCGTAAACAATTGTAACGAGACATAGTATTAATTGCCAGGAAAAATGAAAATTCGTGCAAACGAAGAAGCGAGAGGGTGAGAGAAAGTGAGTAAAAGAGAGAGAGAGAGAAAGAAAGAGGTGACAGAGAGACCTAACTATCGTAAGGCCGCGAGTACATGTTACGTAGTTGCGTTTATTCCAGTCAGGCGGCGAACGAGAGAGAAGGAGAGCCGGGAGCTACCGATCGTCGTCCACGAAGAGCCAGACAATTGTTGGAAAACGCGAAACACCTTCGAGATCTCCCGCTCTACCACTCCCCTTTCGTTCTCTCTCTTCTCCGACTCGTTTTCTCCCATCGCCCGTGAACATTACTCTTTCTTCTGTTTTCTTATCTTTTTCTCCTCCTCCCTTCCTTCGCTTCCCCTCGAACCGAGAGAAAGAGAGGGACGCCCCCGAGCAAGCAGGAGGATTTTCAAAGCCACTTCTCTTTTCTTTTTCCCTGTATCTTTTCTGTTTGATTCATTTTTTCTTTTTTTTTAGTTGAATTACCCCCTCCCCTAGTTATTCCTACAACTACACTTCTATTACTGTTAATATTATGGATTTATCGTCTTATCGTTGTTTCACCGTTGGGTTAGGATTTCTTTTCGATGACTTTTAACGACGGTCGCTACCCCCAGTCATCCTCATAAAGCTGCCATAAAACGCTTACCGGCTACGCTCTAATAAAGACACTCTGAAAACAAGGTCTCAACGAATTATCTTCCCGCATCTCTTCTTCCGATCCTTTTTGCAACGAACGACCATCGCTCTCGCTAACACCCTGCCAAAACCCCGTTCCTTCGAGGGCCGAACCACCCGATCGACGCGTCCGCTGCTATCGCGCGATCGACGCGAACGAAACAGAGAGCTTCTGGGGCTACTTTTTCCGCGGAGACCCGTGGCAGCGGAGGAGATCAGGGTAGCAGCGTTGTTCAGCGATCGTTTGACTGTCGGCGGTGCATCGAAGGCTCCGCGTGGAGAGCCGGACGTCGAACGTGTGGCTGTGTAAGCGGTGTGTTTTTAATTTAAGGGGGGATCCCCCTGGCGTAGCGGTCGATCCCTCGCGTCCCGATCCATCGATCGCCGATCGGAGGAGGAAGCCACGGCCCGCGGACGTTCATGTTCTTCGAAAGTATCCGTCGTGTTCCCCCGCGATTCGATAGCAATAAATTAGTCAATTTCATCGTAACTGCCACTGTAACGCGACCCTCCCTTTCTTCTGGCATTCGACGGGGAGTATCGAGCGGCTCCTCGAACTTTCCGCGGGTGTCCAAGGTCGTTCGCGTTCAATTATTCGCGCCTCCGCACAGCCGTACGCGGAATCGCTGCGAACAGACCGCGGATTTTATGCGCTGATAACGCGCGCGCGCGCGCGCTGTCTCGCCTGACCACGGCGAACAGAAATTCCCCGGCGAATTCTCCGATCTCGAAGAGTCGAAGAAAACCCGCGCGTCCTGCTTTCGGTTTTTTTTCTCTTTCGTTTCATCCATCGACGCGTTCAGGACGGTCTTCGAAGCTTCTCTTCTTCGCGAAACGTTCGAACGGGTGGTCGCGACTTAGCTGCGATTTCGAACGTTCGTTCCGAGGATTGCGTCGTTTCACGACGACGACGACGAAGACGACGACGAAGACGAGAAACGACCGACGGAAACCGTTTCGCCGACGAATGTTCGCAAAACCGCGCCACGTTCGAGCCGAATTAACGTGACCTACCGTAACCAGCACTCTTCTTTGTATTATATTCTTAGCTACTACCCATAAACTTATTCAGCGTTATAACATCGTGGTAAACAATAAATAATAACGACAACTATCGACGTAGAATATAAATATAAATATATATATATATACATATACATATATTTTTTGTATTTTACTTCTACCTTGGCTGCATTGGACTGTATTATATTGATTGTATGTGGCATGCCGAGGGCGTGTACAAATACGAAATAAAGACCACAAAATAAATCACGATCGACACGGTAACTCAGTGTCGGCTATCTCGGCCGGCTTTAGATCTAATCTATCTCGTTCGCGCGACTCTCGCGAGAGCATCGATTTTCTATTTCTGGTCCCCCCATGCCGCGACCATGTATGGTTCGCGCGCCGCTGAATCATTGGTGTCGGTTCTCGAACAGAACACAATGCAAAGTCGAGCGAGCGCGTGTCTTCCCGCGGCACATAAATGGAAGAGAAGCTTTCGTCAGCGACACGCGGGCTTCTCGCGTGGGGCAGCGGTCTTCGCGTGCCTCGCCAACCTGTCACACCTTCGCCGAGCGGGGCCCAACGTGCCGCGCAACGTGCTAGTTTTGCTCCCTCGCCCCGGAACCCGAATCGTCGAGACGGAATAGACGCGACCGGTCCGCGGAAGGAGGCAGCCCTCTCGCGCCGAGCCCGAGGGTTGCGTCACCAGGAAATTGAGCAACCGAGTAATAAGTTGCCGGAGTCGCGAAGGTCTGCCGGTCGATTTCCATACAATCGACTCGAAGAATCTGCGGGTCGAGGAAAGACGGGGCCCGTCTGCGAGGGGGCCCGCCTCGAGATTCGCAGGTAGCACGGAGAGCCTCTTGCCCGAAGCTTTATTTTTCTGATATCCCGATACGGAAACGTTCTGTTATCTAAAAATTCCGTTCGAGTTCTCTGCTCTCGAGTTCTCTGAACAATACAGCGATATCTAAATAGTATCAGAACATTGTAAAAATAAATGTCCGTACAAGAGAGTCTCCGCCGTGGTTCGAAGCGTCGTACAGAGTTCCCGCGCGTTGTAATTCGAACGAGCTTGCGAGCCGCGTTATCGGGGGTGCCCGGTCGATAACTAGCCCCTGGAAGAGGCCCGCGTGTATTGCCAAAACGCGAGGATGCAGCGTCGAAGAGCGCAGGTCCGCTCGCGGGCGGGCAAGGTGAGAGAGGGCGAGAGAGGCCGCGAGGGGCGCCGCGGCGCGCCGCGTCGCTTCGGGTCGTGGCATAGCGAATTCCTCGACGCATCTCGATGCAGTAGTCGTCGGCGTCCCGCGGGTGGTCGCGATCGAACAGAGAGAGCCAGGGGCGGGAGAGCTGGCGAGCTGGAGAGAGCGAAGGGTTCGAAAGGCGACCCTGTGTCTCTTTCCGTCTCCTTCTGCCTCCGCCCGTCTCTGTCGGTCTCGCTGTCGGTCGCTTTCCGTTTCGCCGTGCCCTCCCGCAGGTGTCACGAAAAATAGAGGCAAGGGTGGAGAGGGTGTCGAGGTTCGCGGGAACGCGAGTTGCCGATTCGTGTGCGCGAGGAGCTGGTCGCTCGAGCAGCGGGCTTCCGACGGCGAGAGCTTCGTGGCCGGAGGGCGACGACGACGCCCACAATCGAAGGTACGAATCGACGGGAGAGACAGGGAGAGAGCGAGAGATAGAGGAGCACGGACGGTGTCGGGTAAAGGGTCCTCGGGAATCCTGGCACGGCTCCAACGGCGGCACTCTTCGCACCCGACGACTACCGCTGACCACTGGCGACGCTCGTCCGATGTCAGAACAGCAGGCCGCGAAGTGTGTCGTTGCTATTTTCAAGTAGTACGTATCAAACACGCTGCCCGGGCGGCCTCGCGGGCTTACGGTAGCGCTTGCAAGCTTCACGCCGCACCGCCCGTTTCACGCTACGCCGAGCTCTAGAGAGCTTCTCGAGCACGCGCGACCCATCGCACACAGCCACGCCGCTCGCCCACGATTCATCCTCCGATTCGGCCGCGGATTCGCATTCCGCTCGAAACGTTCGCCACGGCCGCGTAGATATTCCGCTCGCGCGAATCTCGGCGCGACCGGCTGCTTCGGCCCGCTGCTTCCGGCGCGCACGTGCTCCGCGCGACGGTTTCTCGCGCTCCGTTCGCGGACGGATTAATCCGCTCGACGCCTCCTTCGACCCGCGTCGCGAGCAGCATCGCCCTCCGGTTGTTCGATCGTTCGTCCCTTCGATCCACGATCGAAGCAACGAGTCGATCCACGGACGCGATCCGTCCCGGTCGACGGGCGAATCGTTGGATCACGGATCGTCGGCTGCGAAGCTGTAATCGCGAGAAACCGGAGGCTGGGACGGCAAATCCGTGTATTAGGGACACGCGAAAGCGTGGCCGATAGCTTCCGGAGAGCCCGTAGAGCTTCGCAAGCTTGTTAATTCGCAGCCACGACCGGTTTCAAGACGGAAACCAGAGTTCGTCGACTTCGCGGAACGTTTCCGAGGATCGCGTCCTCGCTGCCTCGTAATCCGCTCGGAACGATGCGCGATCACGCACGCGGAGAAATCGACTATGCAGGACGGTTCCTCTTTCGTTGAACCGACGCGGGAAATTGGATCGGATGGTCCTCGCCTCTGCGATCGCGGCCGAGGGAAAGGAAAGCACGGGTCCGCTGGAAAAACCGAGGATCGAACGATCCGCGGGGACGATGTTCAGTCCGATCGCGAGGGCCGGTAAACCGTGACAGTATCCGATGCACGGTCGGCTATAGACAGGTCCAGGCTCTAATTACTGATTTTTTCTCTCCGCTCCAAAAAGCCACCGATGTGTGATACTGGCTTTTGTGCGCCGGCGACGCGACGCGACGCGACGGGGGCTTCTGGCTTCTGTGTGCGCGCGTAAAGCGCGACCGACAGATACAACCGGGGATCGTATCCGCGACCACCTCAAAGCCGACAGTGAATCGCCGCGGGCCGCGGAGCGCGGACGACGCCGCGCGAACACGCTCTCGATTTTAATCTCGAGCCCGCTCGCGAAAACGCCGCGAAAATCTGCTCGCCGGCGCTCGTTTTCACCCCGTCCTTGCTCGTTCGCGCCACCGACCGTGCCGACTATCGATTCGTCACCTCGCCCCTGGAAACGCTCAACCTCCTCGTTAATAATTCACCCGCGACACCGCAACCTTAACCCGTTGACCGGTCGTCGGCGGTAACCGGCTGATCGCTCGTGCTCGCGGTAGAACGCGTCTCGACGCGAGCTTAATCGCGACGCGTCCTCTTCGGTCAACGGGTCGACGCTGTTCCCGTATCGTCGTTCCGACGAATCTTCCTCGAATCCTCGCCGAATCGTAGCTTGTTTCCCCGGATTAGCCGAGCGAAACGATCTTCCCGGTGTGCGTTGTTCTCGCGCGTTCTTCTATCCGCTTGATTCCTGCCGGGACCGGCACCGTTACGAATTCTCAATGAAATTAAACGCGGTAACACCAATTAAGTGAGTTATTAACCCTTACGCTACGCCGCGAAGCGCGAATCAACGATGCCGTTTCCGCGATCGGCGTTATCGCGACTGCGGAGCAGCGATTCCCTCGCGGTAACGCGGACAGATGCTCCGTCTCCCCCCCCCTCTCCCCCTCCCACATTCTTAACAACCCAACAGACAAATTAGCGCGGCAGCTGCGATTCAAAGATTGCCCGAAGGAGGGAACGCACGTACGACCGAGCTAGGTGGGCCGTGTCGTTGCCATCTTGTCGGACATTGTAACGGATAGCTCGTTCGGTGCAGGAAAACCCGAGCTCGCGAGTGAATCCGTTGCATCGGGAATTATTCCGCACTTTCTTTTCTAATTAGAAGATGCGTCTCGGAACACGGACGGCGCTCGGTTGCAATTATGGAGATCCGTGCGGCCGCGCTCGCTCGGGGATCGGCGCAAGCTCGCGCGCTCGTTGGAATTAATTAGCGACTTAATTGCCGGGAGTAGCCCGCGTGCCGGCTCGGAAGCTTTCGAGCGTGTCCGCATCGGTGGAAACACGCGCCGCGGGCTCCGACAGTGACAATTCGAGCGAGCGAAGCCCCGAATACGATGCGATCCCCGGGGGGACGATCTCGAAGCGAAGAACCGACGCCGGCCTCTCGAACGGAACAGGCGAACTCGTTTCTTTACGCTCTTCTACCCGCGAAATACGATTCCCCGGCGTTCGGAAAGGTATCCCTGAAAGCGCGCCGTCGTAAATCCAACGCCGCGTAAAGCGATCCTCCGCGGAGAGGAAATTAACACGCGAGGAGCAACGAGTTTCCGCGACAAGTACGCGTTTCACGGTGAAACTCGAGGACTGCGTGTAAATCTGTTTGTTGGCGTCTTGTTGTCGAGCCCGGTCCCGAGGATAGTCGACCGAGGATCTCGCCGGCACCGAGATATCCGGCTCCGGCGATCGGTGAACGATAATATTTTATAATAAAAATCATAACACTCGTTCGATCAACGAATATTGGTTACGCTCGTCGTGCGAACAACATATTACAAGAAATAAAAAGAAGCGAAACGATCAAAAGACAGATGACACGAAAAGAAAGATAAACTTACCGATCGAAGGGGTAGTCGCGAGGGGGTGCACGGGCGGCAGGGAAGGTCAAGCACGTGGCAGCAGTGGTTGGAAATTAGGAGGAGACAATCGAGGCGGTAGATACTTTCGACCAAGACGGAGAAGCAATTGTCACGGTAACCGTGCTGTGCTTGTCGGCGACGTCGCTTCACGGCTGACCGACCATCCCCCTAATCCCCTTACGAAGGGTTGCAGCTTGCCACTGCGATCCTATAAATTCCGGCGGCGAAGCGACGCTACAGTCCCAGGGGTCTACCGAGTAGCATAGTTCCGCAACGATCGCATCGCATCGCATCGTATCGCGGCGCAGCGAACCGGTGATACGTTGATCGTGATCAGATTTTCGAGGAGATTTCCTCGTGACCGGTGGTCGTCGCGGAAGTTGACGCGCGTCGTCGTTCATCCCGGTTCTAATCGAGCGTTGCGCAATCGACGGGCGAGCAACGGCGAGCGTCGCGCGTCGCGCTGCGACAGAGAAAAACGATTGTTAATGCGGCTCGTTATTTAGGAAATTGGGGCAGCCGGTTCGCGGCTTGACGCGATTCAGGCCGGAGTGAAGTCGCGAGTGAAACCGCACGAACGAGCACACGAACCGTAGAAACCGCTCGCGCGTCGAAGAAGAGAGAGAAAAGCCTGGGGGACGGGCAGACGACTTCGAACAGGTTCCCCGGGACTGCTGTCCACGGTGGTGTGTGCACGACCGAACGTTTTCCCGTCGAGACGGTGCGTCGCGATCGGATTTTTCAATCGAGACAGACGTCCGACGGCGTTTCGACGGCCTTTTCCCCCTGCCCGAGAGACGCTCGGCCGTCGATCGCGCGCGTGCAGTGATCGATCGCGCTCCGGCGAGGTCCGGCGATATACGTCTGTGCAACGTCAGGCAAGATCCTGCCAGCGGATGAGCGTGATTCCCGTGGAACGAATGGACGTGACCGGCCTCCGCGAGAGAACCGAGACGCTAATAGCCGGGAGCACGTGCCTCCTGAATCGAAGAGGACTCGCTATAACCCGGTATGTCGGCGCGTGCCAAACGATCCGAGGTGTCGACCGTTATGACGTGCCACGCCGGCGAGAGGACTTCGCCGAGAAACGGCTCGGGAGGATTCCGTGACTATTTTAAGACCGTCCGAGACGATCGCGGCTTCTGAGAGAAAAACAGCGGACCCGCCGGACACGTCGGCGACGATCGCCGATACAGGAGAAACACGCGAGAGGCTCGGAGGAGAGGAGGCGGCGGTGTCGCGACCGACCGCGACGAGCCGAGATTCCTTTTTACTATTTTTATAATCGACGGGCGCAGTCGCGCGTGAATAGGGACTAGAGAAAGATGGACGGAAGGCCGAAGATCGAGGTGGTTCGCGTGCCTTCGAACGATCGCGGCAACTTCCGGTCCGTGGACGGTGTGCGCGGCAGCTACAGCCACATCCGCGTGGGCACGTACTGCCCGGAACCGGAAGTCAAGCTGGTGGTTTGCGACAGCAAGCCGCCGATCGAACAGCAGTCTCGGAAGTTCAAAAGGTAAGGCTCTCTCGCTCTTTCTTCGACTTGTTCCGAAGTACGATCCGTGCTCGTCGAACCGAACCGATCGTTCTCCTTCTTTTTCAGGAGCCTGGGACCGGTCTCGAAACTTCTGAGACGTCGCCATCACGCCACGTATCTCGCCACCAAATCCTGCGATAACATTTACACGGTGAACAGAAGCAGCAGCAACTCCTTGGACTGGAGAGTTAGTCAGACCGTGAACGAGCAAAGTGAGAATTCCGTTCCCTACTTTAGCCTCGGCTGGGTAGAGGCGAAGCGCGATCGATTTTGACCGCTACGCTGTTCCAGTCTCGCGTGAAAAATTATGCGACTGACGCGAGGCACGTTTTTCAGGCTTCCAATCCCGGCAAAGCGGCAGCCTGGATTGGCGGGTCGGCCGATCCGTCAACAAACTCCATTGGCGGGACACCACCAGAAGCGCGGAGCAGCTTTCCAGAAGCGGACCCATCTGCTCGGACCATCTCCAAACTCCCAGCACCAAGTACATCCACCAAGAGATTTCTCGATCCGGCGCGAATCTTAATCGAAGATCGACCCCGCGACTCGTTCCTTTTTAGATCGAAACTGATCTCGCTGCTGCGACGACTTTCTCCTCGCCTTTCCCGACCTGGCAGCAAGAACTCCCTGCAAGCGTCGCCGACGATCTGCCCATGGGTGCAGGTCGAGTACTCCACGGAGTCGATCAACGAAGGGCTGCCGGAGGACTCGCAGGAGGGCGACGCGAGCTTCCAGAGGGAACTGCAGCTGAACGAGCTGAGGAAACGCATGGCCGGGATACCTACCGCCTCTCAGGTGATTAATACAGCTGTCCGAAGATTAATTGTACAGATTATGACGTATCGCGTTTCGTGCAATTGGAAGCAATCGATTCCCCGGACGTTTGAGTCATCTGGAACGAAGACGAATCGAAGGCGTGCCCGCTAATGGCTTCCGCCTCGGTCGGTCCGGGCCGAAGCCGCCACGATAATTGTAGTTTTATTGCCGTCGAGTAATCAACGAGCAACCCGCGATACTTCTGTTGTTGTACTCTATCCGAGTGTTTTGCGTGTCAGGTTACCACGAAAGTCGTTAAACATGACGAAGCGAGCGAGGATGAGGGATCGTCCCGTCCCAGGATAGAAGTGCAGCATCTGGAAACCGAATCGAATAACTCCGCCAAATCGTAAGCCTGCCATTTTGTTTCTCCCACTTTGCGTTCGTACCTATTTCTTCTCTAGACTCGGAGAGCTTCCCTTTGCACCGTAAAAAAAAACGTAGACACTTCCGATATCCACGCATGCACCCGGATTGTCCCTCCGCCTCCTCGGATTGCACCCAGCTAACGTACTCCTAAGGGATAGCCATGTACGACACCCAATAAACGACTGAGAATGTTTTGTGCACTGTGGTTTTCTTAAAGTAGCACGAGTATATAATCCCTCTCTCGATCGTTTCCCCTAGGACAGTTCTGATTTAGAAATGGGATCGTATCGGGGTAACATTGAAATGCGATCACAGTTTCGAACTCTAGCGTTTAATAACTTAATTCCATCTTTGATTCCGATTAGACAATAATAGAGCTAGAGAAATATGTTGGTGTCCGGCGATAAATACTGACAATTTTTATTAATACGAATACTATGATACATTTACCGTGGGAACGTAGCTTGGTCGCGATTCATTGTACAATACCCAACTAGCCGGTCGAATTATTCGTAATATGTACAGATCAGATTGTAGAAGTAACCCGGACAGTAATGGTTCACGTATTTGTGGACGCGACAGATGCCATGGTTTTTGTACACCAGGCACAGGTGGTTGTTCTTAATAGGTACGTGGATCAGCGCTCCGTCCTGTTCTCTCGGGTTCACGTAGTCTATCGTGTCCTCTGGGGGCACTTGATTCGTATGGAATTGAATTATCGCGTCCAGAGCGGACGAGTTCAAATCGTCTATCTCGTCCTCGCGTTCGCTGTATTCGGGACTGTAGTCCAGACGATCCGACAAGTAGTCCCCGATATCCGACACGTCCGATTCGTCGCTGTCTATTAACCTGGCCAATCTCTGCGACGGAAGATTCTCCAATTTCGGCGGTGAATACCGCAGAAACAAGTTCTTCTTTTTCGGTCGAGAGGACTTACCCTTCCGGATCGCCTTGAGCAAGTCTTCCTCGTTGATTTCCTCGTCTTCCCTATTGCTCCCCGGACTAGTATGACGCGACCCTTCTTGACTGTCCTTGCTTTTACTGCTCTTGCTGCTTTTGCTGCTCCTCGGAGTGTCCAGCGGATCGTCCGGTCGTTCGTAGTTCTGGTTTACGCTTCCGCTGCTCGATTTTTTGTCATTACCCGAGACAGCCGACTCGGTTGGGGACCCGGTCTTATCCCATATTAGCGTGTAACAGCCCTTGGACCACCTCTGCAACTCGATCGTCATCTTCGGCTTCATAGCTTCTCTCTCCGATACGAGATCCAGGTCCGTGTAGTCCTTCAACAATTTGAACATGGAAATCGACTTGAACATGTTGTAGAACTGTTTCAGAAGCTCGGGTAAGCTCTCTTCGTCCGCTATTTCGTAGTTTCGGGTGTCCGCTGGTCCAACTTTCTCCCACACGACCGCATCCGACATCAAGTCCGTCACTAGCTTCTCGTAGACATCGTCTTTCAAAAAGTTGGACAAAAATGTATAAGACTCCTGTTCGATGTCGTGTTGAATCTCCTTAACGATACCGGAGAATAAGTAACAAGTTGTTATCCAATCGTCAAGTACGATTTCGGTGTCCTCTGGTTCTATGTAATTTGGTTCGATCTCTACTCTTTGAGGCCTGACAAGACCTGCGGCAGTCTCTTTCAAATTACCATGAAACCAGCCATTGATGCTCCAACGTGACTTGTCCGGAGAAGTTACTTCGGCTACTTGATGGTAGGAGATATCTACAACTTCGAAGAAAACAAGAGAATTGTATTCCGGTACAAGAGATTTTACAACGTTTCTGGGTAATCCATTTTCATCGGTGTCGAATAAATCCAGAGCTCCTCCGTCCTCCACGGTCCAATCCTTGGAAAGGTATAGTATGAAAGCGATTCTTCTGTCACCCATGTTGTCGTCGTGGCACAACAAGTAGTCTGTATCGGAATAGCACGAGCTGGACATAGATATTTTTTTGTTGAGCTGTATCTTGGTGTTCTGTTCCAACCATGATGCCAAATCTGTTTGGAAGGTTTCGAACAAGAACTTTATATTTTTGGTATCCACGCTGGCCAGATCGCTGGTCTGCTCGAACTGGTACAAATCTATACTGTTTCTTCTACTCTTCACGTCTAGCAATTCATTTTTTATCTCTTCCATGTAGTCTTCGCTGCAGAGAAAATTAGAAATTTTGCATATCCTAAAGGGTTTAGATATTACTTCCAGATCGTCCTTCTTAACGTCGCTGAAATTGTGCCAGTGCTCGCAAAAGAGTTTCTGAAACTCGGAAGTGTAGACATGATTCGAGATAATGGAATGTTTAAGTTTCTTTATTTCTGGTTCTTCCTCAGCCATAACTTTCCGTGGTCCTTGTATCGACAATCGAGTATTGCAGCTCGTGTTCCTTATGCTATCAGTCTTTTCGCGATCTAGCTACCATGCATACATTAATAGTACATGTCCCTGTTTAATCGACTTATTAAAAGTAGCTTCTACAAATTGACAGAATGCTAAAAACTAGATTACATTTTCCTTCTATCTAAATACATAGATATGCGTCGTTGCACGTGTCTCTTTATGAAAACATCGTCTGTAGATTAAAAATCGTATTCACGAAATAAAAAGAAAAGCAACATACGAGAGATTAGTGTCGCTCAAAATATCATCCTGTAAGGTTATCTCTTTTCGGAACGATTTACACGTGCGCTCGGTGATTGGCAATTTCTTCTCTGCGTTCTTTTCCATTCAGTAGAAAAGCGGGTATTGTTCTTTTCGCATTGTGTCGTTCCATAAACAGAGATATCGTTGGTTCCCCGGATACGATCAGGCTGCGCTTGTTTCTCTATCTTCGTACACGCGGCCCACGTGGTCAGTCCGAGCCGCACGTGTTCTGAAAGCAGTCGGTCGAAAAATCCGATTAATACGATCACGATGGATTTCGCGATCGTTTTTCCACTGGCAAAATGAACGAGCTTGCTCGCGAATAAGAAATGTCACTCGCACGACAACTACGTACCAGAGGAATTGCACGTGCGTCCAAATTTAGAGAACTAGGTTCGTGGTTCCATGTCACCTCGTAGTTGCAGTCTGCCCAGGGACAGCTACTACCGCTGGCGAAAACGTCGATTCGATCGAAGCCAGGGACGTCGCGAATTATTCGCGAACCCCGTCCGCCGCGTTGCTATCGCTATCAACCGCACGGAATTACGCAACACGTTTTCCCGTCTTACGAAAATATCTTTCCGTTTAATTCAATCTTCGACCAACTCTACTTCCGAACAAAATAATTATCCGAAATATATCTTGCACCACTTAGATTTGCGATCGGATAATTTTTCGGTACAATTTTTCCTAGTAATCTGTGGTTCCTAGAACTTGATTAATTTTATGACAAACCGTACAAAGAGACGAGACGAAGGGAAAACAGAAACTATCGCTCGACGAATATCTTCTGTTTTCATAAAAAAAATGTAACGAAATTTTTTCATCGAATTTGCTGTGTTTCATAATATTCTTCGGGTATCGCGATTTTTTACTTGAATTCTGTGATTGTCAGTTGCAAAAAATGTATTTATCATAGAAATCCTCGATCTAGTTATAAAATTTCACCCTATTTCAATTTGAAACAAAAATTTTGTAAAGGATAACAGAAAAGCGTTTCTATACGATAAACATCTCTATAGATGGCTATTTAACGATCTACGATATACGAAGTTGCATATATATTCGATGAAACACGGCAAAGGATAGAAACATGAAAATTACGTAAGGATCGGTGCATGCGTCGAGGTTGGCAGTTTTGGCGCGTTCGAATTGTCCCGCGGTTGGCGGCGCTCTCGATTCGGCGATCGACCGCGGCGCGGCGTTCGAATAGCTCGTGTCAAGATGGCGGCAGCAGTAGTTCACGTTTGACGGGTGCCGTTGGTTGCATGGAAATTCGGGGCACACCCTGACCGTTAAAATTGCCGAGAGTGTGAGATCGTCGCGTCGAATGCTCGATCCTCGTGAAATCCTGGAGTGAAGAACCGATCGCGGATCCTGGAACCGGGCAGCGAGCAACAACAGCCGCGCATACGTGAGTAACCGAATCAAACACGCTGCTGCTGCTCGACAACCCACACGGCAACGGCGTGTCACAAGTTCTCCCGATCCTTTATTTCACGGGTTCCTTTTCGGATTCCGGCTACCTGTCAGTGTTCGCCACCTTTTCCCTTGACGGGGCTGCAGAGGCGCGCGCGCGCGCCTGCCTTCCGATTTATCGCGCGACGAGTTGTTACGTCGGATCCCAACGGTTCCTACAGGCGACTTTAATCGCTCGCGGTTTTCATCGTACACGTATCGATCAGTCGCACGACAAATCCCGTCGTAATCCATCAGGATTCTGGACGCGACGGCAGAAAAAGGTATTCGTACACCGCCGACTTTTGCTTTCACCTGTTCACGCTATTTTCTATGCGTCAGAATCGTGTCAGGCTGTCTCTCGGATCTCTTGTAAATAGATTGGCCGATGTAAATAGTCCTTAGCCTTGTTTCTCGCCGAAGACTGCATCCTTGATCGAGGACGTCGGGAAGTGAGAATAAAAGTCACTAGAGAGAGGTCGTTTCAGGGGGTAGCTTCGTCGCTGCCGAGGTCCTTTCGTTAATTTCGAATGAAATATAGATCGCGAAAGCATTTCGGTTTCGGTTTATTGCCTAAAATTGAAGGGGATGTGATCCGTGCATCAGGACCGATCGTGCCGAAAACGTTTGATCAATGGTCTTCGGTTGGATTTTTCAAGGGGTTACTTTGCAAGGCGCGACCACCGCGTTCGACCGACTGTGCAGTTTCATTTATGTACAAAGTCTGACAAATCGTTACGTGTACAGGAAAAACTGCGTTAAATCGCAACGTTTCCGGCCCATAAAAATCATGCGTCGCCTGCACGTCTGACACTCGAATATACATATGTATATTCGCATTTTCTTGCTCGCCTTAATCGCTCACATTCCATCGTTTCCTCGGGCGTTATTAGTTCGTAAGAAACTAGGCTGCGGAACGTTGTTCGTAGCCCTTAAAAATTGTTCTTTGTCGCGTGATCGATAGAAAGACCGAGGAGTGGGGGTGACGTAACTATAAACAAAGAAAATCTGCAGTCTACCGTTCGATCCTTTCGGGTCCGTTGGAAAATGTGGACGTAAAATGTGTCGTACACGCATCGCGATATATGTACTTGTAATTAGATAGACTTTATCGTCGTCCTTATTATTATTGCGGCGCAGGGGTGGGGTCCCGCGATCAAATTCGACGAGGTGAACACGGTCGGCGAGGACACCTCGGGTAGCCCCTCAGTCATCTTTTGTTTGTGTCGGGAGCACGTTGTGCCCGATAGGTGCCCCGAGTACAGTGTCGATCGACGAAATCCTTCGTTTTCCCGTCGATCCTCGAGGACTCCTTCGACGTCGGCGCGTCCCGTTTCCTCGGGATTCCTCGTCGAGCCATAGTCGGCCTTGAACCGGACTCTTGCTGGCCTACTGCCGACGATTATGGCGTGAAGGAGCTTTCGAATTTTCAAATCTCTTCCTCTCTCTCTCTCTTTCTGGCTCGCGATCGTCCCTGGAGAACGCAGGTGAGTCTGCTGGAATACATTAGCATCCTCTGTACCTTTTTATCGAAACGTTTCTGCGGATGCACGCCACTGTTTCCATCACGCAGGACCCATTTTGTGTTTCTCGATACTACGTGCCCTAATACCAGGATAATCTCCTACGTGACAACGTTTCCAAACAACGTCTCGAGCGTGGATACAGTAATGTCTCCTTAACTGACGCTCGGATTGTGCAGAAAAATGGGCAATTTGGGACGATTATCCGAGCCTTGCGGCTCGTTTTTATAATCGTTGACAATTCGTAACTATAAAAACGAACCGCAAGGATCGAATAATCGATTAGAGAATAAGTCAATTAGAGAGACATTAGCGTATGTCGTCGGAGTTGGTGGATGGTCCCGGTAATAATGTTTGTGCAAGTTCTCGTCGTAGCGTGCTCGTTATTTTGTACATGTACATATGGTGAACGTTGGCGGTGGGTATTTGAAGGAATTAACAAAAGAAAAGCGACTTAAGCTGGTACGATTTGTCTGTGCTTTATCGTGCTTCGTGCATTTTACATGCGTCCCGAACGTAAAATATCAATAATGTCACATTTGAAAGTAAAATTCCCCACGTTTTACGCGATTCCTACTACGCGGGTATCGTCGACACTCGTTTCCGACCATAAGTGGCTATCGATTGNCGAATATACATATGTATATTCGCATTTTCTTGCTCGCCTTAATCGCTCACATTCCATCGTTTCCTCGGGCGTTATTAGTTCGTAAGAAACTAGGCTGCGGAACGTTGTTCGTAGCCCTTAAAAATTGTTCTTTGTCGCGTGATCGATAGAAAGACCGAGGAGTGGGGGTGACGTAACTATAAACAAAGAAAATCTGCAGTCTACCGTTCGATCCTTTCGGGTCCGTTGGAAAATGTGGACGTAAAATGTGTCGTACACGCATCGCGATATATGTACTTGTAATTAGATAGACTTTATCGTCGTCCTTATTATTATTGCGGCGCAGGGGTGGGGTCCCGCGATCAAATTCGACGAGGTGAACACGGTCGGCGAGGACACCTCGGGTAGCCCCTCAGTCATCTTTTGTTTGTGTCGGGAGCACGTTGTGCCCGATAGGTGCCCCGAGTACAGTGTCGATCGACGAAATCCTTCGTTTTCCCGTCGATCCTCGAGGACTCCTTCGACGTCGGCGCGTCCCGTTTCCTCGGGATTCCTCGTCGAGCCATAGTCGGCCTTGAACCGGACTCTTGCTGGCCTACTGCCGACGATTATGGCGTGAAGGAGCTTTCGAATTTTCAAATCTCTTCCTCTCTCTCTCTCTTTCTGGCTCGCGATCGTCCCTGGAGAACGCAGGTGAGTCTGCTGGAATACATTAGCATCCTCTGTACCTTTTTATCGAAACGTTTCTGCGGATGCACGCCACTGTTTCCATCACGCAGGACCCATTTTGTGTTTCTCGATACTACGTGCCCTAATACCAGGATAATCTCCTACGTGACAACGTTTCCAAACAACGTCTCGAGCGTGGATACAGTAATGTCTCCTTAACTGACGCTCGGATTGTGCAGAAAAATGGGCAATTTGGGACGATTATCCGAGCCTTGCGGCTCGTTTTTATAATCGTTGACAATTCGTAACTATAAAAACGAACCGCAAGGATCGAATAATCGATTAGAGAATAAGTCAATTAGAGAGACATTAGCGTATGTCGTCGGAGTTGGTGGATGGTCCCGGTAATAATGTTTGTGCAAGTTCTCGTCGTAGCGTGCTCGTTATTTTGTACATGTACATATGGTGAACGTTGGCGGTGGGTATTTGAAGGAATTAACAAAAGAAAAGCGACTTAAGCTGGTACGATTTGTCTGTGCTTTATCGTGCTTCGTGCATTTTACATGCGTCCCGAACGTAAAATATCAATAATGTCACATTTGAAAGTAAAATTCCCCACGTTTTACGCGATTCCTACTACGCGGGTATCGTCGACACTCGTTTCCGACCATAAGTGGCTATCGATTGCCAAAGGGAGCAACGTCTCTCCCACGTCGTAGCGTGTTTTTCTTCGGCGACTTCGTCGCGTTTCCGTGTTCAGTAACGATCGACGACTATGTATCTCTAAATACGAAAGAAAAACGTAGCGAGACCGCGTCATTTCAAGCTTCGGAGGAGCTTCGAAACGAAACGAAAGCTCGCGTGCCTACGTGACGATCGTCGCGTGCACCGCCAGGAAATTCTCCTTAAACGGAAAACACACGAGTTGCCTTGAATCGCGCTCCATTAAAAATGCACGCGATATTAAGCTCGAGAAGGTCTTGAAACCCGCGTAGCTTCCAGCTGGAAGGGAGCTTTCGAAACGACGGGAATTTCCGACGCGCGCGGCCCTTAATTAATTAAACCGTCCTCGCGGTTCCTCTTTCGAACTTGGAGATTCTACCTGACGTTGAACGAAACGACACAGGCGCGTACACGATTTTCGAGAATGACCCGATCGATTTCGAATCGATTGGAAAGGGTAGCGAGGAATGTCCGCGGTTCCGCGTAGGTCCGATTCGCCTTCGACGACGAACGACGACCGTAGGTCATTCCCCCTTTTTTCTTCTTCGACGACGGAATACCATCGACGAGATGCCAAGTGGCTCGTTTAACGATTACGCCACTCGAACCACTAACAATAACCGGCGTCGGTCGTGGCATTAAGGTGTCC